CTGTCGTCGCCGATTCGGGGTCTGAGTTCGGCTCAAACATGTAAGGCCGGACAACATTTCCTCAGCAGTGACCATCATTACCGGTGTTTCTATTGACCTTACTTGTGAGTATCACCAATCCACAGCAGGCTACAGCATACATGACCCTAGTTACCTGTGGTTGGTCTGGCTGTGCGTCACTCAGAAAACAACAGGCCAATCAGAAGAGAGGCTCATGAATATTAATTAGACAGGCCAAACTCTACCTGTTCTTTGCAGAGCTCCTGAGACAGGAACTGTAAAAATATGTGTACTTATACCACAAATATATAGTCTTAAGGACACCAAGACTTAAAATAAAACTCCAGAAAGGTGTAAAATATGTGACCTTTAAAGGTGTACAAACACATTCTGAGGCCTGCTGTAACACACTGAGTCTCATTCATTTTCATTGAGCAGAACAAATTAGTGTTAAAATGTTTGTAAAACCTTTCTTATGTAAATTGTTCCACTGAACACTGGGTAACACTGGGTTCCACTGAACAATTTAAGTAAGAATGGTTAAAAAATTATTTACATAGATAATCATACTGCTTGTGTTTCCTAATTGAAGCCCACTGTGCAGGAATCATTTATTTGCTGAGAAACACTCTTCTCACTTTCCAAAACTGACAGGCAGAATTTGGTCCCGTCCGCTGCATACCGCATTCTGAAAGGATCCCTACTGTGTCTTGATAGGCCAGCACCTTTACATTTACATGAAGTACCAGCAGGATATTTTAAAAAGGGTCCGGGGACGGAGATGTCAGATGTCATACCATGCTGTGTGTCCTCTCTGACATCTTGACAACTTTCTATAAAACTAGAGAGTATGGGGAAAATTGCAAGAAGAAAAAAAAAAAAAACCCTGCAGGCAGCCAAGAAGTCCCTCTGAATTTCTAAGATGAGTAATCGTCCTACAGTAACCCCGGTTTTGCAGAACTTTCCTAATAAAACTTTAAATCATACAGAGATCCTAATCTGTCACTTACCTCTTGTCTCTAGGCCAATACCGCATGCCTCTGCGGGCCCACCCACAGCCTTCCTCACCGAATCAGGTACCAGAATGCACTGATGCCAGCGGTGGGTCTGCCATCTGCCATGAAACACCAGTGCACAGAAAACATGTTGCAGCGTCTGGCTTATATCCAATTATATTTTCTGAACATTTTGTATTTTGTTGGCACATCTAGTAGGGATACGCATTAGCACATTTTAATGGAGTAACACCACATGTTGTACACGGTTTGATTACATTTGGGTAATTTTCTGTCTTATAGGATGATTTTAAAAATGCTCTAAACATTTTAAAGGGTACTTTATAAAAGCTTTACGTTTATTAATTTTTATATTGTTTTCCCAGAAAGCTGAATTCTAGTTTCTCCTACCTAAAGATATAAAAATAAGAAAAATTATATTTGGTTTTTGCATTTTTCACAACAAAGAATCAATAATAAGCTACTGATGATTATATTATGTTGATATCAAGTTTATTATGATTTACTTGAGAAGTGAGAGATTTTTACATCATGATCTAGATGTAGCTTTGCATTAATCAGTTTGATTTGTCACACTGAAGACTGGAATAATGACTGTTGAAAATTCAGCTTTGCCATTACAGGAATAAATTACATTTTAAAACTGTAAAAATAAATTGTAATAATATTTTACAATATTACAGTTTTTACTGTATTTTGATCAAATAAATGCAGCCTTGGTGAGCATAACAGACGCCGTTTATCGCTCATTTAACCATTTCTCTCTTTACCTGTAAGTTGGGCACAGAGGGGGTGGATCACATTCTCTCTCCTCATAAAGAGTATCTGGGCACTCTTGACCTCCATTAGCAGGTCTCTGGATGATGATCCTGTGACGAGACTGGGTTGGTGCAGTAGCATTCACTAGAAAAGCAAAGAAGTTCACAGTATTGGGAGAATAAACATGAAGTTAAAATTTTGAGCTTGTCAAGCTGTTCCTGGTAACGACATGCTGTTAGGGTTAGGGGTCTACATGCTTACCCGATAAACAGGAAGTGGGACAGGTGCTCCATTCGCTAAAAGGTGTGACGATGCAGTCAATTTTGCAAGGTAAAGGACAAGACCGGATGGAGTCAGGACAAGAGGATTCAGGACACCTAAAGTTGATATTAGTATGAGATTTTCTGTATGGGTGTTCTATACAGAATTTAGGATGAAAGATTGTGTTTCTTTACCGTTTTGGCAGCACATGTCCATTCCCAGCTCTCCTGCATGTGACTTGGTGCATCTGTACCCCTGTACCGCAGTTGGCATCGTTCTCCATCTGTGGAGGTGCGCCGTTACCTTCACTCTCGTCTGTGATGGTGTTTGGCATACAGGGATCCCAAGGTGAAGTATCCCAGTAGTACACTGTGCATGGTTGTGTGCCACAGGGTCTCCACTGCACCAGCTCAGGGGCCGGAGGACATGGCTTTCCATCTACAAAAAAAAAAAAAAAGGACCAAAAAAATGTCCCCACAAGGTCAAAATTGACTGGTATCCTTGTGGTCCCCATAATGTAGGGAATACCAGGTACCCTCTCTCTCTCTCACACACACACACACAGGTTTGTTTTTGTGAATTGTGGGGACATTAGGCGTAATGGTTTTTATACTGTATAAACCATATTTTCTATCACCCTACACCAACCCTACACTTAAACCTACCCCTTACAGGAAACTTTCTGCATTTTTAGATTTTCAAAAATCATTCTGAATGATTTATAAGCCTTTTGAAATATGGGGACACTCAAAATGTCCTCATAAATCACCTTCTCGTTGTCATACCTATGTCATACCCATGTCACTATACAAATTTGTGTCCTCATAAATCACAAAAACGCGCGCGCACACACACACACACACACACACAAATGCATATACATTTAAGGACAAAGGGCCATATGTTTGAGGGGTCAAACAAAGGATATGTCCCTGATGAGTGTGTCATAAAGGGAGAATCTATAATTCATGTGAAAGAGCTGCTTTATGGGGACCAGCATAAAAGAAGGGGATGACAGGACAAAGACTAATAGAACATCGTTTTAAAATGGGGATTAGAGATTTGGACTAATCAGGCAAATCAGAGCATTGTGAATAATTAAACTGAAAGATGCCCAGTATGCGAGGGCCGCTGTAGCCAGTTTTTCTGCAACAACTGGAAACGTTACATTTCCGACACGTTTTCATAGTTTGTGCTTTGTGTATTTATTATTTATACTCTTGAATGTTCGCAGTATAACTTCACAAAACATAATCATATCATCATCATCTTTAGCATAATGAAAATGTGATGTGCATGAAATTCAGAGCTCAACTTGTGCGCTAATCACTTGGCCCGGTGTCTTATGTTTGCTGCAAAATACACTCACACTCTCCAGGAAGAGCCAGAACAAGGCGTGAGCGACTTTGTTTCCCCTCTTGGTGTTTACTGGAGCAGGATTGGGAACAGGAAGTCCAGGGACCCCAGTGTCCCAACACACAGTCCCCAGGACAGGGCATCTCACATGGCTGCTGGACTGGAGGAGGATCTCCTGAACACTGATCACTAGGGACTGTCTCACCTATAATGCGAAGATGAAGATCAGGAAAAAAATATCCCTGTTCTCATTGTCTTTATTTATATCAACATACCGAATAATGTTAATTATCTTTTCACAGCTTCCCTTTGAATAACACTTATTCTTTCCCAACAAACAAGCATATTTAATTAACATCTTATTATAATACAGCACAAGGAAATATGCAGTTAAGTTTATTGCCAAGAAACAAAATTAGAACATTGATATAATGATCATGGTTTGTTTTAAGCACCGGAATATCTCGGTTTCCTCTTATCTTACACCTAACAATAACTTTTTATTAATTCAAATTGAATAATATGCAAATAAGACGTTTAATAGTATTCTGATTGCTCTATTCTTTTCTCAAAGACCGTGATTGGGCAATATTAAGGCACTTTTTAAATTAACAGACAGCTTGAAAATAATTATTTGATAATGAATGCTGAAATATCAGCTCTAAACTTCACTCAGTTCAGTTTGGAAAATACTAAATGCTTCACTGCTAGCTAGCTAGATAGATAGATAGATATTCAATGGCAATTTCTTATTTTTAAACATTAATCTCAATAAATGTTGTCAGTTTAATGCTTAAAACAAAACATTTTTTTTTCCCAGTAGATTCATTATTTATTTATTAAGAAAGAAAATAAACTTAAATTTTAACCTAGTGAGGAAAAATCAACACGTATATACATCTCACAGAAAATCTTTTTATTTGTGAGATTGGAATGAACAATGAACACATATATGCCAACACAGCATCAACTTATAGAAGATGCTCTTCAGGTTGTTTGTGAGATAAAAGAACAAAGATAAAAGGCGAGAAATAAACCTAACTGGTCTGGACAGACCCTCCTCTGAGAATCAGATATTGAGCCGCAATAGTTAATTTCTTCATTACATCTCAGATGCAGGAAGGGCAATGCTTCCCGAAACATTCTCCAAACGTTGGCCTTAAAAATCAATCTCTCTGAATTGTATTCATTGCCTAAAATATAAATGCACAAATAAAGAGACTGTCTCATCTGAAGATGCACAGCTCCTAATATGTATTTTTATGACCCCTGTAATCACCATCGTTCCTGTTGTGTTATGAGGGTTTATTTCATTTTCTTTTCACATGGCAGACAGGAATATTTTTTTCACCTATTTGCACTGTTAGAAGAAGCAATTTCCCAGAGTGATTATCTACCTAGAGCCTTAAGAAGTGCATTAGAGTGTGCAAGAACTGCAGGACTGCTGATAGACAGCAGAATTCAATAGCATGCTATTTCATAAATATCGAACTTGCAGACAGATCACAGAAACTGGAGTGATAACTTCTGCAAATGAAGCTATGAACCATGTCTGGCCATTGCAAAAAATCTTATCTCTTAACTCTTTACCTCTTTGCTAAGGCCAATAAGCAATTATCTATAGCAACCATCCAAAATTTAAAAGCAAACGCATAGTAATGTGATCAGAACCATAGCAACACCCTGAAAACCATCCACACCATAATGCAATAAAAATATTTATTTACACTGTCCAAAATATATTTCAAATATATGCTAAATATATGTTGTAAAAAACACTGCTAAATAACAAATATTGCCCAAATTGAAAAAATATATTTCTTTTTAAGCTTTGATGCAAAAATGTACTTCAAGGAGCAAGAAATTACTTTTCCAGTTGTTTGGATAAATGCAAGATCTATTTTGAACAATATGTTTACATTGAATAATAATAAATGATATAAATATTTGCCAAAAATGTCAAAATAAGTAGCTAAAACTTATTTAAAATAAATGTAAATATATTTTAACATCTATTTTTGTAATATATTGTTTTCCATTCGTTTGTGTATTTTTAAATCTATTTTTCAAACATATATTTATATATAGGAAATACATAGCTAAAACCTATTTAAAATAATCTAGATTTTTTGATGAGAATTGAATTGGTGTTTTCCCTACTGCCATGATGATAAAGTATGATACCATACAGAAAAAAAAAGAAAAAAGAAAAAAAAATATATATACTGTATATATACAGTGGGTACGGAAAGTATTCAGACCCCCTTAAATTTTTCACTCTTTGTTATATTGCAGCCATTTGCTAAAATCATTTAAGTTCATTTTTTTTCCTCATTAATGTACACACAGCACCCCATATTGACAGAAAAACACAGAATTGTTGACATTTTTGCAGATTTATCAAAAAAGAAAAACTGAAATATCACAAGTCCTAAGTATTCAGATATATATTCCGTATGGGATCTATTCATCATGGCAGTGGGGAAAACATCTCATCAGAAAATGTAACGCTTCGCGTCGGGCGGTTCCTTGCCTCCACATCATGCATTAAAATCCTTTAATGCACGGCTAGCCGTTGATTATCCCGCTTATTCCATTCATTCCATTCAGTCATTTGCCAAGTTATAGACAAGTAAAAACTAGTATTGCTCTTCGCAACACAATATTTGACCGAATGGGTAAAAATGACAGTTATTTTCGTCAGTTACAGCATGTTAGCGCTAGCATTCTGCCCGCTTCAAATCATACACAGAGATGAAATAGTGCGGTAAGGCCACATTTATTTGAATGAATTATAGCATGTATTTCAATTAATTATCGATCGATCGTTTGAGAGAGAGAGAGACAGAGAGAGATAACAGTTGTGTGTACCTGCGTGCTGCGTCTGCGCGTCTCTCTGTACAAGCAATTACTTCAAAAACAGTGATTTTACCACCTCGTTGCTGGGTAATATAATGTAGCGATCTAGTATCTAGGCTATTTTATTAATGAAAATCAAGGGGAAGAGTTGACAACAAGTTTGTGTGTGTGTACAGCGCAATCAGTGATCTCTGACCTCTCTCTCTCTCTGTGTGTGTGTGTGTGTGTGTGTGTGTGTGCGAGTGATGCGTGTTGGTTAGTGTGCATCAGTTAAAGAAGCGCATTAATATAGAACAGTGATTAAATTGACTTGGAACTACCTGTGCATTAAACGGTTTTACTGCATACCTGCCAGCCAATCAGAATCCAGTATTCAGACAGACCATGGAATAAAAACTGATATTGAACAGCTGGGATGTTCAGTTCTATTTTTCATCTAATGCTGTTTTGGGAAAGTAAGATAAGGTGACTTTAACCGAGTGTAAAGTGATTACAACTAAAATCTCCAGCAAGAATACATTAACACTTTAAGTCAACTGCACTTCAACTTTAATGGCTCTGGCATTTCAGCTTCACTTTGCATTTTCCAGAACATTCCAAGTGCATGCTGGGAAGATGATGCTGTCAGGTTTAATGCAGATGTGTGTGTGTGTGTGTCAGATGTAAAATTCCAGCTTCACCGTGTCCTGTCATGTATGACGACTGCCTAGCCACAGACGGACATGTTTCACGTACAGTGGTACCCATTAAGACCACTCATATACTTACTGCTGATGGACAACACACACACTGGCACTTGACATAGATGAGTGACATTACAATGAAAGACCTTAGAGGACTCCTGAGACTCTTTGGCAGTTGTGTCTCTGTTTGTTTGTGCGTCAAAACTCAAACTCATCTCAATAAAAAGCACAGAAGACAGATAAGAAATATGCCACATACCCGCCGAGAGGAGAGGAGAGATGAGAGGAGATTAAAAGATAGCTGATCATTGACTTATGTGAGTAAAAATAACTAATCACTGAAGAGTTTGAGGACGGGGATAACAGAAGGTTGAAAGTAATTAGAGGGATGAAGAAGAAGAATGATAGGGTTGAGAAATATAGTTAAAGTGATAGTTCTGTAAATTCTGTTCTTACGCAATTTTTCAGAATGATTTTTCTTCCAGGGAAGACGACTTTTTGCAAAATGTTTACGAATGTCTATGTTTAGGGTAAGTAAGATTTTTAATTGTTTTTGAAAAAAGCCTCTTATGCTCACCAAGGCTACATTTATTTGATTAAAAAAAAAGGGTAAAACAAAACAGTAATACTGTGAAATTTGAGAACAATCAAAAATAAATGTTTTCTATTTGAATATATTTTAAAATGTAATTTATTCCTGTGATGCAAAGCTGAATTTTCAGCATAATTACTCCAGGCTTCAGTGTCACATAATCCTTCAGAAATCATTCTAATATGCTGATTTGCTGCTGAAGAAACATTTCTTATTATTTTCTTATTATTTTTCAGGATTCTTTAATAAATAGAAAGTTCAAAAGAACATTTATTTGAAAAACAAATATTTTGTAACATTAGAAATGTTTTTACTGTCACCTTTGAACAATTTTATGAATCCTTGCTAAGTAAAAGTAAAAAAAATCTTACTGATGCCAAACATTTAAACGGTAGTGTGTAGGTGTGGGGGGTCTCAGACTCCAAAAATGACAACAAACACTATAAAAGTATAGTCCATAAAGCATAAAAGTAGCACATTTGCCTTGCTATATTCTTCTGAAGCCATAAAATTGTTTGCTAATTCCTGAAAACCTTCTCATTTGCATTTGCATACATTCAAATATGGTATCTCAAGACTCGGTGCACCAGAATTGCTGTCTTTATTTTTATTTTATTTTTTTACATTTATTGATATTTATTTATTTATTTAAAGTAAATCATACAGGTGAGGGAAAGAAAATGATGACAGAATTTTCAGTTTTAGGTCAACTATTGCAGTAAAAGGGAAGAAAAAGGAAAAAGTGAGCTGCATACCTGTGGCGGAAAAACACTCTAGAGTCTGTTCTTGGAATCCTGGGCCACACGATCCATTTTGAGGAACACAGGGCCCCTGTGATGTCACTCTCCACATGAAGCAGACAGGGTCGTCGCAGATCATCGCTTCGCTGATGTGAGGGCAACTGTCGGACTCCACCCAAGACTCCATAATTACAGAACGAGTTCTCATCCTGAAACCTGAAAATGAAGGTGTACACATGCAAAAAAACAAAACAAAACAAAGGAAAAGAGTCAGCGATGACAAACAGAAACATGCTCATTGCCAACATTTTAGCAGACACTGTTCCCACACTCTGGCAAAATAAGCAGTGCAGCAGTCAGATATCTTGGCCTAACATATGTGCACATTAAGGAAGAGGAGAGAAGAAATAGAAAATGGAATATAAAGAAAATGGCTTTAGAGTGAGTCTAAATAGAGGAATACAGCTGTCCCGTCACTGTCACCTCACTGAGTGGGCGGCACCTCAGCTTAGGGTCAGAAATATGCTCACCTCGATTTTCGCACATTATTTACATTACTGAGAGGAGAAACCAAGGACAGGGGGTGTGAATCTAAGTGAGTGTGATTTAGACTTGGATGTGTGTCGATGGGATGCTTTTGTCTCTCACCTCTTCTCCCCTGAGGTTCCAAACAGTTGTCATGGAGACAGGGTCCCCAGGGTGACCAAGGCGTGAGGGGACAATGTTTCTGACAGGGAATGAAGCAAGACTCAGCCAATGGCGGTAAAGGCCCGATGCACAAGTTCCTGCCAACAGGCCGACTGACTAATAATGAAAAAACAGAGAGAGACAGTTTCAGATTTACCACAAAATGTCAGTTGGAGATGCTGACTGTATGAAATGCATTTTTAAAGATCTAACAGAAGCTTGCACAAAAATAAATGCAATTCAAATCCATCCTTCTCACTGTGTGGTCACAGATTACCATTTAAATAAAAAAACAGGAACGCAGAGGAAACGAAATCTCCCCCTTAGCGTTCTGCCCTGAGTCTCAACAGCCTATGAAAGATTAAATAAAATGAAAGCAATCTAGAAAGTCTTTTTTTCCGTTTAAACATTAATGTTTAAAAAATGGACTCTCATTTGCGTTAATCACATTTGCTTATTGTACTGTGAGATGGACACATTATTAGTGCTCTGATCCAAAACCAAAAAGTCTTCCAAGGCATCATCCTCACTGAAATGGAATCTCATAAATGACTTGGATCGCGCTTCATAGGCAGCAATTTTACGCTCTTCATATGAAGTGCATGCGAGACTAACAGTGTAATGTTAGCAAGCTGCTAAGCTAACGGCACAATACTCCAATAAGCATAAAAATATATAATACACACAAATACTCAGAAACATTTTGCAATTAGATTGACACCTTTTTATCAATGCATTTTAATAGTGAATGATGCATAAGGCTAAACAACTTCACTCGACTTTGTTTGCCATCTTGGATTAAAAATTTTAACTGAGCTTATTCCAATACATACTAAAATCGCCTTCTCTGTGAGAGATACAATACCATTAAACGTTTGGTGTCTGTAAGATTTTTGAACGTTTTTGCTCTTTAAGGCTGCATTTGTTTAACCCTCTGAGGTCAGCGAACGAATATACAGTAAAAACAGAAATATTGTGAAATATTATTACAATTTAAAATAAATGTGTTCTAAGTTAATATATTTTAAAATGTAATTTATTCTTGTGATGGCAAAGCTGAGTTTTCAGCTGCCATTACTCCAGTCTTCAGTGTCACATGATCCTTCAGAAACCATTCTAATATGCTCATTGAATGATGCATAAGGCTAAACAACTTCACTCGACTTTGTTTGCCATCTTGGATTAAAAATTTTAACTGAGCTTATTCCAATACATACTAAAATCGCCTTCTCTGTGAGAGATACAATACCATTAAACGTTTGGTGTCTGTAAGATTTTTGAACGTTTTTGCTCTTTAAGGCTGCATTTGTTTAACCCTCTGAGGTCAGCGAACGAATATACAGTAAAAACAGAAATATTGTGAAATATTATTACAATTTAAAATAAATGTGTTCTAAGTTAATATATTTTAAAATGTAATTTATTCTTGTGATGGCAAAGCTGAGTTTTCAGCTGCCATTACTCCAGTCTTCAGTGTCACATGATCCTTCAGAAACCATTCTAATATGCTCATTTGCTCCTCAAAAAACATTTCTTATTATCTATGTTGAAAACAGCTTAATATTTTTGTGGAAAGTGTCATGTTTTTCAGGATTCTGTGATTAATAAAAAGAAAAAAAAACATTTATTTAAAATATATTTACTGCCAATTTTGATCAATTTAATGTGTCCTTGCTGAAAAAAAAAGAAAAAAAAGCTTAATTAGCTGATAGAGTTGTTGCCACGCCCACCCCTGGGTAATATCATGGTATTTTGATATTCACCAAGTACAGAATGATTATCATTCTCACATACAATGATTTAAAATAATACTGTGATACTGTCATACCAAAAGTTATCTGAAAAAAATTTTTTCAATCATACTTCTAAGTTAATAATCCACAGTTAACTATCGAAAACAGTGTTCTTACTATGGGACAGTACTGTGCTGTCATGGATCCTGACACAATATGCCTCTCGGGTCCGGATCCCACCTCCACACAGGATGCTGGTATTGCTATGGTGATGGTCCTGCTGACTCAAAAGTGAGGTCACCTGGCATGCCTTCCAATTGGTCACCCTCCACTCATACCTGTATTTCCAGCCAATTAAAATACATTAATTTCAAGTCAAATTAAAGAGTCATATCTGTTCAGCCTTTTTAAAGTCACAATAAGACTGAAGAAACATATCTTTTCTTCTGTATTGTGACGTACGTCCAAGTTAAACAGATTATCGAAAAATAAAAAAAGTGTAGGGTGACATCTGATTAAAAGTTATATGGTCACATTTTTTAAAGAAATGAAACATATGCATGGAGGAATCATTCACAATAAGATCAATAACATGCATTAATGGGGAATTTTAGGTTTATGTTGAGTTTAAAGGGGACATCGAATGCAAAATTCACTTTTACATGGTGTTTGCATATAAATGTGTCTTAGCAGTGTGTGGACACAATTACCCTACAATGATAAAAATCCATTCACTCCTTTTAATTTTATTCCTCAGAAAAGCTAAACAGTCTCAATTATCAAGCCGTTTTGATTTTCTGAGCAGTATGATGTCATATTGCTCAGGCCCCACCCATGACAGCGGATGGACTGTCCCGTATTAGCATATTTCTGCCCTCAGCCAGGTGTACGCTGTCCGCCATTTTCTCCGTGCTTGAACAGCTGTAGCGACAAATGTCTCGTAAGCAATGCAGGTGTTTTGTAGTTGGATGTAAAAGTGAACATAAAATTCTTAATTTTCTCCCGACATCAGAGCCACTGAGGACGCAGTGGATTAGTTTTATTTTTGAAGGTAATGCGTCACTGAATACACAAAAATGGAAGAGAGGGGTGGGGTCAGCAGTAGCTCATTATCATTTAAAGAGACATGCACCAAAACGGCTCGCTGTGAACAGGGCTGTTTTTTGACAAGGTTAAAAGGTGTTGTTTTACATGACCACTGAGGAATTTTAACCAAAGTATGTTGCAGACATTTTATGGAGACCCTAAAGAATCATGCCAACTTGTGGAAAATGGGCATCCGATGTCCCCTTTAAGACCTAATGCATTTAGAACAGATTAAAACATTTAAAATGATTTGGATGCACAATTCTGGCAATGCAGTCTCTTCACCTTGGGCACAGTGGCAGTGTGTCTTCCAAAACATTACAGTTTGCTTTTTCCTCCAGGGCGGGGCATGGCTCTCCTCCACCAATGGCTGCTCTCTTTAGCCTGCGACTCCTGAATCTGAAGCCAGGTGATTGATCAGATGTCCGACACGTCTTTGAACACAGACTCCACTGCGACCAATCAGACACTCTACAGTCTCTGGGCATCACACATGAACGAAAGTTCACGGGGTTGTTGTCATGGTCGCAAAGGCTGGAGATGAGAAGGAAATTTACAGTGTCATCTTTTTACCACATTTTTATGACACTGTAAAATGAAGAACTGTACTGCTGTAAAAAGGATGATTGATATTTTGTGGCCCTCTGCTACCTACCCACACACACACACACCTGTATACATAAAAAAAATCAACAGATTGCAATTCTAAAAATTGCACAAACAGTTACTGTTTAGTTACTTTCAAAGGATTTCATGTTTATGTATTGCCTTATCTGAAGCTGCTGGCATGCATTTAGCCTCTGGCTAGCATGACAAAAAAAGGTAGCAACATAAACAGAACATTTTTCAAGCTGTCTCTCAAACTCTCCAAGGCTTTAGTGTTGATGCTGATTCTCGGTGAATATATTGGCATACAAAACAAGCTAAAGCAAACTATGAAATCCTGTGAGAGCGAGAAAGAGAGAGAGAGAGTGATGGGATGGTCCGTGGGTGTTCAATTTATTCCAAAGTTTATTCTGGCTTAATACGAATGTGAAAAAGTTTGCAAACCACAAGGGAAATTTTGTAATCTGAAGACATAAAATGATGTTAATTTATTATGCAGTGCGTAAATGAGTGGTTTAAATAAAGACTGGCATTAGCATCTTATTGTTGGTAACACTATTGATGTTTGCTGCATAGCATGGACAACAGAACATTGTGTGCAAAGAACTGATTGCAAATGTGCTTTGCAGTTGAACTGACATTGAATAAAAATGAATGGATTAGTTAAATAGGGGACCACAAACAAAGATGAACATTTACAAAAATGAAATACAATAAAAAAGTTATAATCTTCAGTATACTATTAAAAAGGTATTAGTTATAAAGTACCAACCAAAGAATTACATTAAATTATATTACCGTGTTTCACTGGGATAATGAGTTTGATGCGTAAATGTTATCGAAATTTGACTTGGTAATGAGAATTAAAACACATAAATCATCAAACTCAGGAGGGATTTTTAAATTTAGATTTATATGCACATTTTTAAACCTTAATACGCTTATCCTAAGTGCTGATTTTGATTGATTGATTTATTTTATTATTAACAAAAATCAACTTTTCCACATCTCCACAAAGTAAGTTCAAACTTTTCTTTTCTGATTCCCATTTCCCATCTGGATCTATACACATTTGTCTATAGATCCAAATGGCTCTCGATGGATGCTAAGAACTAGGATTATATCAAATATAAATACACAGAATTTGAAAATATTTGCAGCAAATCAAAAGCATAACTTATTTGTCTCACTAGATTTCTGCTGTTCTGTAGCATGTTTGATAGCATGTGGATATTTTCAGAACTGTTTCTTCATTTTTCATATTCACTACAATACACGGCAGTCCCACACTCTCTCTGGAGCTTATTATTGTAGTTCTCTAGGAGCAACAAGTACTATTTCTATTAAAATCTAATGACAAATTAATAAAAAGCAGCAGGTTTGGGATCTTCCCTCAGCTGAAAAAAGAAAAGGTGAAAAGTCTTCTCTCTTTTCAGTATCGCCCACAACAGAAGGTAAAAATTCAGATTCTGTTATTTGACTGTAACCAGTAATGCATACATAAATTACAGCATGTTCTCTTGTGCAAACAGCATCATATGGTAGAATGGTAATCCATCTGCACCACGAGGATAGCAGTGCTTAATTCAGAAGACTCTAATATCCTCACTGTGGAGAGGCATTTAATAAAACAAGTAAATTTATTGCATAACATTGTTACATAACTGTCTGCCAATAGGCCTGTATCATTTATTCATGGTCAGATCAGTAATGAGTACTCATTTGTAAGGCCTCTGCGAATATCGCACAAATGAACGATTGAATCTCCGCATTCCACCGGAAAAACTAAAGACTCTCCTCCCCAGCTATCTGCGGTCGTAAAGAAGATCAATGATCAACAGGGCACCTAATTGTCTGGACCTGCTTCCGGTCAAGGCCTGGTCCTTATCCCTTAGGGGGATCTGAACTGCTTCAAACTTTGGGCTTTCCTCAGAACTCCGTAAACATCATTCTTCAGAACTGTATGTATGTGTGTGTGTGTGTATGTGTGTTTTAGCTTAGTTTAATGTAATCTAGAATAGCCAATAAATTCGTGTTTCATTTATAAAGAATCATTGTCTGGTGTCGTATAATTTTAAAGTCAAATCTTGCCAAGATCACGTTACCTCGCTAGGAGCTTACAAATTATCATAATTGTATTGACCTGTGGCCAAGGAAAATACACATAGTCAGATTGTTAAGATACACGGACATTAACATCTCGCTGGACGACCGTTGATAAGGTGTAAACTATTCAAATTTGAAATCAGTTCTAATCAGGTTGACTTCGAACATTCAGATTCGAGTCCTCTCAAAACCTGAATGAATTAATAATAATTAATTCCCTAAGAAAAGTAATCAGACATTACATTGCAGCTCTATATTTGACCGCAGTCAATTCTGACTACATCTTCAATAGTTCTTTAAAAGCTTTCATTACACAACTCTCTCTTCATTCTGACTAATTGCACCATTCTGTGGACAAGTATTTTTGTAAAATGCTAAACTGTATATAATTGGACAATTTCATAGTTGTTCTAGTTTAATATCTATTGTATCACTTCACAATGTCATTTTTTCTTACATAGTAAAACTATTTAAACTGAAATCAATATTTGCTAAACTAAACTAAACTAAACTACAACATAAACAAAATAATGTATAAAAAAATCTAAATAAAATATAGAAAAGCAAATAACATAAAAATAACAATATGAAGAGTATAAAAACTAAACAAAACTGAGCTAAAACTAAACTAAAATAAATAAGAAAGTGAAATAAAAATATGACAAAATAAATACTATAAAAATAAAATACATTAAATAGTAAATAAGACAATAAAATGTAACTAATAAAGTATAACAAATTAAAAAAATATATATATATATGAAAACTATAAAAACGAAACTAAACTAAAATACAACTTAAACAAAATAATGTGTAACAAAATCCAAATAAAATATATAAAATAAAATAAAACTCATATATAAAATAAAACAAAAACAAAATAAAATATTGAATAAAATGTAATTTAAAAAATTAAATAAAAATAAGAAAAAATAAAAATGACAAAATATAAATAAAATAACAAATAACATTAAACTCAAAATATAACTAATAAAATAAATCAATAAATATAAAATTGGTGCACTGACTGATCAATCGGTGGACTGATGGATGTGTGGATGGATTTTACATTTACATTTATTCATTTTGCAAACACTTTTATCCAAAGCGATTTACAGTTGAGAAATACAACAAGCGATTTATCATAAGATGGCAACAAACACGAGAAGTTATAAAAGGTTTCAGTCATCGTTCAAAATAGTAAAAGCCAAGACAGGAAGGGATAAAGGAAAGACAGACTGATTTGATTGAATGGTACTGTAGATGCGTGGATGAATAAATTCATTCATTCATTCATAAACTTATTCATTCACCCATTCATTTGTACATTCATAGAATGGATGCCCACCTTAGCATGGCATTCTTCCCATCACTCCTTGTACAGCGCAGTTGCCGTGTCTGATAGCCAATGGTTATTTCCCAGGATACTTTGTGGCCTCTTTCATCATAATGGTTTTGGTGATAATTATTCTCAGTGTGACGTTTGATGGTGTATGAAGCTTTGACTGTTTTTTTCCCATCAAGTTCAAAACCAAAGTCCACCGTTGTCTTTCCAACAGGTGCTGTCCCTTTAAGTCTGCAAGGGCTCCAGGGCCCCACCCACAAACTGTAACTGTATTCCTGTTGGTCAGAGGGACAGAGAGCAGGGTGGGCGTTGTCATGGTTACAGGGACGTGTCTGGGTGAGGCTGGGACAGTCTGCTCCTCCATACAGGGGCGCTGCCAGCACGTGTCTGGTGCGCTGTTGGAGGGCCGACCCGCAGGTGCGGCTGCAGGTGGACCAGTGGGTGAAGGCGGAGACGATGCAGTCGATTGGGCAGGGTAACAAACACGCCTGTTCTCGTTCCGGCACTGCAGAAAACGCTTCACACACATGTTGGCTCACCGTGGTGCCGTTAGTACGCTTCACACACACCACACCTCGGTTTTGTACTCCACGCTGAGCGGTCACACATCGATTGGCTGGGTGGAGAGGACTCGGGGTGCAGGGACCCCAAGGAGACAAGCGCCACTCAAACAGATCCTTTTGCCACTCACACATCTTCACACACGCTCTCTGGTGCGGTGGGCGATCAGATGGAAAGCAGTTGGATTGATGTGTGCTCCAGCCTTCAGAATGGACACACCACACCGAGCGACTCTGGAGCCCAACTGAACCACAATCATTGGCCACACATCCACCCCATACACCTACAGGAAAAGAAAAAAAATGACACACAGGATATGAAGTGAATTATATTAATATTGTCTACTTAAGCCCAAATCAGGCACAGTGATGAGCCTCTATTCATCTCACTTTACCACAGAAATATTGTACATGTGGATTCAGTGACACAAGAAGGATAATCATCTTTAATCATTGTAGAAAAGCACTGTCAAAAGAAATGAGCTGGAAAGAAAGAGAAAGGGAAAAAAAAGACAAAAATTTGGACTGTGCAGCTTTAAATATCACCTGCTAAAAATATGAAATTGGGATTCATTCTCAAGGTTGCTGCAAATTCATCTCTTTTGGAACAGTGAATAGAATAGAATAGAATAGAATAGAGTAGAATAGAATAGAACAGAACAGAACAGAACAGAACATTTAAAAGTTTGGGGGCAGTAAGATTTATTTGAAAAATCAGTAAGGATGCATTAAATTGATCAAAAATTACATTCATAATGTTCTAAAATATTTCTGTTTCAAATAAAATATATATATATTTTTATATTTCCACAATATTAGTGTTTTACTGTATTCTTGTAAAAAAAAAAAAAAAAATCAGCCTTGGTAAGCATAAAAGATTTCTTATATACCAATACCAAGATTGAAAATACAATAAGATAAGATAAGATAAGATAAGATAAGATAAGATAAGATGTGACAGTAAAGACATTTATAATGTTTAAAATATTTCTGTTTTCAAATAAATTGTGTTCTTTTAATATTTTTGCAATATCAGTGTTTTACTGTATTTTTGAAAAATGTGGCCTTGGTAAACATAAAAGACATCTTTCAAAAACATTTTAAAAAATCTTCCTGAACCCAAACTTTCAAATTGTAGTGTTCATAATATATATATAATATTTGACAGTTTGACAGTTTTGCAGTTTGACAGACATCATCACTACCTTTGTATGGAAAAGAGTTGCTTCAAAATTCTCATTTTGTGTCCAAAAGGATACAAGTTCACAGGACTGAAATAAAAATTTTGAGTAACTATACCTAAACAAGTCCTATAAAGTAAAAAAAATACACACATCTCAAAAATGTGTCTCAAAAAAGAACACATCCCAAAGTAATAATTCAAAGTAATAATTCCAGTGTTTTAACACTATATGAATACTGTTTGCCTTAGTATAGTGGTAATTCTATAAGCGCCCAGGAATAATGTCTATTTAATCATTTCTATTTAAACCAAAAGTCTAAATTTGACCTACATTTTAACTAGTTTTACAGTTGTTTCCGACCTCTCAGCCATAAAAAAAATCATTTTTTGATAATTTATGTTAAATTGTACCCTAAATTGTAACCTAGTGATAAACATTTAAATTCAAAAGCAGCAAAACTTGCCATCTGTTACAACTGCTTCCATTATCTTCTATTAGAAATAAGGAGACAGAAAGAAAAAGAAGCGATGGGAACAGAGAGAGGAAAAGCAGAGGGGACAGATGCTTCAAACAGACAGTAAAAGTCTGACATCATTGCTGTTGTTCCTCAGGGGATGTCAAAGGCCATGTTCTCCTCATCACACCATTGGTGAGGTCACCAAAGAGACCTGCCATTCTCCAAATGCCACCTAATGCACAACGGAGCAGACAAAAACCATGTGACAGAGACATATGGGGTGATATCATTACTGTATGAGTACTGAGGTCAGCCAAAACCCTCCAGTCAGAGTCGAACACACATTTGATCATTAGACTGTCGGTCCTCACAGCGTGCTAATTACTGCTCGTGCGCTCATCCTCCTTAGTCAAATATCAATTTACTCAGAGGCAGGGGGTTCAGGTAAAACTTTAACCGCAGAGGCCTGTCCTACAGAGATCTCCCGGCTAATCAGGATTCTGATGGATGGCATGCTGATTAAAGACTCTAGATGTGGGAATAATTGCTTTGAACTGAGGCAATGAGAGAAAAAGCACCAGGAAAGAGATTTTTGTTGTTGCTGTTGTTGCTGCATTGTTCTCTGTCGGAATTAAAATTTTTGGGGAGGAAAATGGAAAAACAAGGGAAATGTGAAGCTTTTAACCCTGATGAGTGGTACATTTACTCAAGCCTTTCTAGTGGAAGATAGAGTAAACCATGTTACCAGAAATGCAGATCTATATTCATTTATTTTTTCATATCCTTATGAAGATTATATATCGATTTGGTCTACATACGCTAGTATTTAGAAGCTTGGGGTTTGTATGATTTTATAATGTTTTTTTTAATAACTTGCTCACGCTATTTGATAAAAAATGCAGTAAAAACGGTAATATCATAAAAGTTATTACAATTTAAAATAACTATTTCCTATCGTAATATACAGGGCCCTATCATACACTTGGCGCAATGCGGCGCCAGGCGCGAAGCAAGTGTTTTTTGCTAGTTTCAGGCCGACGCAGTTGTCATTTTCACGTCCTGCGCCACATTGTTTAAATAGCAAATGCATTGTCGCCCATTTGTGCGCATATTGGCGTGCTGGTCTGAAAACGAGGTGTGCGCAATATTTATTTATTTTGTTATTTAAAGAACGCGTTAGTAATATGCACCTATAGGCGGGTGCACAACGCGCATACACTTTGCTTTTTACACACACAGGGATGCGCAGCAGCACACAAACATTTTTAAAAATGAAAAATTAAAGGATTAAAATGTAAAAGATTATTATTGTGTACATAAATATAAAAATGCCTACATGTCATAATGGATAGTCATTGCATGTAACAGAATTACGCGCACGAGCAGATCCGTTCCCTCGCTAGAGAAGCGTTCAGTTTTTCTGCTTGTGAATTCCGCCATGTATACAGCGAATCCGCCATGGCGCGAGCGCAACTGGCTTTTAAAGGGAATGGGAGATGAGACTCTGATTGGTTTATGGCACGTTACTCCCAAAACACACACATTACTCCTTAAGAGAATAGGGACAACCATTTTAGACCATGCGCCGGGCGCGCCAACAATTTTTCCCATCCTTAAACGAGCAAAAGTGGATTCGGACACGCCTTAAACGCAATTGCGCCGTGCGCTTTAGACCATGCGCTTAGATCGTTAAAATAGGGCCCACAGTATTTTAAAATACAAGTAATTTATTCTTGTAATGTCAAAGCTGAATTTTCAGCATCATTACTCCAGTCTTGAGTGTCACATGATCCTTCAGAAAAAATTATTTGGTGCTCAAGAAACATTTCTTATTATTATCAATGTTGAACAGTTGTACTGCTTAATATTTATTTATTTTTTGTGAAAACTAATTTTTCAGGATTCTTTGATGAATAGAAAGTTCAAAAGAACAGAATTTAAAAAAAAATTGTGTCATTTTCACAATTTATCGCATCCCTGAATAAATAAGTATTAATTTCTTAAAAACAAACAAACAAAAAGTATATATACATACAGACATTATGTTTTTATGCTAGCATGCAGCTATTCTTTTAACCAGTGGAGAACACAATTCATCATTAATTGCTTTTTTTCTAAGTATACAAATTTCCAATGAAGTAAGAAAATAAGAAATTTTAGGGGCCATTTACACGACACCATCTTCAACTAAAAACGGAAAACTTTTTATGTGTTTTGGCAGTTCACTTACACAACAACAGCATTTTGGGGGCCTGAAAATGCTAACTTCTGAAAACGATACCATTAGTCTCCATATAAACTACAAAAATGCAACTTTGAGAAAACCGTGAAGTCATGTGCATGCATATTACGTGTTCGTGTTGAATTTCATTACAAAGTGACATTGCCAAGTACTGGTCTGGCATGCATAATACATTTTCGCAGATCCATGTGAATGGGGATCATTTTGACAACGTTGTCATCTGTATGCAAAAAACACAAAGGAAAAACTTTTCCATTTTTAGTACATCGTTGTCATGTAAACCTACCCTTATTTAAATCCTAAAATAATTACAGTGGATACATGTAGTATTTGAAAATGTAAGCCACAATTAAACATGTATGAATTGCACCACATTATACAGCAAACAATAAAAAAAAATCAAACCAATGTGGCTATTTTGTCAGACATGCCTTGTTTTTGAGCATCTACTGTTGCATTAATACACTGTGTCATGTTAAAAGTAGTTCTACTTCATCTAAATGTTTTTGAATGCAAGAACACATCTTACATAAAGGCTCTCTAAGAAACTGACGTCTGATCAGGGACAAATGAACCTGAAACCAGTCTAATTAAACAGGGCTTTCCTAAGAGCAATCCGTCAAATAATTCAGGCAAACCAGGTGATTTCTAAAAATGTATTTTTTTTTTACATACTAACCAGAGTAACCGCATGTGGCGCTCATCTTATTACCACAGTCTGAACATATTCCACAAACATTTTGCAATCATAAAGTGTCCAAATACTTTAAAATATACTAAGACTTAATTTTAACAAACCTATTTTTGTGAAATGCTGCGCTTGCAAGGTGTGCATGTGCTATTTGACTTTAAAATAAATGCCTCTTGGTTTGAAATTTTGATATCTAATGTAACATCATTCCGAAATTTAAAGCATCCAAATACTTGGCGAGGGTACAGTTTGTTGGAGAAGACACACACACACACACACACACACACACACAAAATCACCCTCACAGCTGTGACAAGCTTCTTCCAACTTTCTTTCAGACTGACTTGTATGTCTCACAGGGAGTTCATCTCCCGCCGTCTCTCATGTGGTCATCACTGAAACGCAGCAGGCAGGCGGAGAGAAACAGAACTAAGATACGAGCAGGACCCTGTCCCGTGGTGTCACAGCAACTTAAAGCTGTGAAGATGGGATGAGGTCACTCGCAGGGCATCGCAAGCAAAGTCACTGTTGGCAAGATCGGGAGAGGTTTTACTCAATTTTGGCAGCACAAAGACAGAGATACAGTTTGAACTATGATATCTTATCTGGTAGAATCCACATTATCAATTTCTATTAACTTGGAAAAAGCAAATTTTGAGTGAAAATTGAAATTGGTTTTCATTCCCGTAGGCTTTTTCCCCAGGCAAAAC